GATAAAAAGATCATTGAAGCAGCAGCAGCAGCGTCTCATCGCTCCAACACGACAGATCAGCGTCGGCTCATGAACCTCGTTTGCTGAGATTCGTCAGTAACCCGATGAGGATACTGAAGTAAAGATCGGTGCCTCCCTGCTCTTTATTTCACACTTTGCTCCAGTGTTGTTGGGCAGCTCTGTAGAAACGCTTGTCTTGCCTCTCTTCACCTCTGTTTCAAATAAAAATGTGGATTTGATGCTTTTTTGTCCTGTCACCAGTTAAAGTCACAGTAGCTGCGTTTCCATTACCCATAGATTTGCGCAAAACGTAAATATCGCAATAGAAAACTGGTAATGGAAACACCTACATTTCGAAAAACCTCCCAAATATCGCTAAAAAGTTTTTACGCTCTCATGAGGTGGTTTTTCAGAAGTGTCGATATAGAAGTATATCGCAAAAGTGTAATGGAAACACTTTTCTCGCAATTCTCTGTCACCGGACGTGACGTAGCGGGTCAAGTGACCAGTTCATTTCAAGCGTAGATGGCACGGTATATGTGGACGGGGGAGGAGACGGACTTATTTCTGAAGTTTTTAATTGTATTTGTATTTTTCTGAAGTTTTGAATCCACAATTCGTCTGTGAATTCCTCATTAACGATCCTCTCCCAGAAATCGCTCATCCGTGTTCGCTCCCATACATACGAGCTTTGCCTTTGAATTATCACCCGCTGCCTTCGTCTTCTGATGACAGCAGCAGCAACAGCAGTAATGGTCACAGAAACAGCTGCTCCAAAACGAAAAATGTTTTGTGTCTCGTCCATGTCGGTGTGCAAAAAGGCTTAAGGAATACGAGGTCGCACGGGCAGGAAGTTTACCTCGTTGCTAGGCAACGGCCATTTAAACACGGCTCGCGAGAGGCAGACGGCTCGCTTATGCACTGAACACCATTCAATGGAAACACCCGCAAATCGCAATTGTACTTTGTCGAAATTTGATAAACATCGCTTTTATTTTGCGAAAAAATGTAATGGAAACGCAGCTGAAGTTTTTTATGACCCAAACAAACAACATGAGGTTTCTCTGTTAGGAGGTTAAAGTGGTTGGAGGCAGAAGAGTCTGAATGTTCACTTCATGAAAGAGTCTGAAGGAGCCGCTCTGACTTCAGTCTTTCACAGAAATCAGCTCATCGTCTGCAGTTCAGAGAAAAAACCTCAAACTAAAGTTGTTCTTTAACGGTGAAAATGATGCTGCAGGTTCTGAGGACCCGGAGATTTCAGTGACACATGGACCGGAGTCTAGTGGACCGGAGTCTGGTGGACCGGAGTCTAGTGGACCGGAGTCAAGTGGACTGGTCTGCACTGTTAGTCGGACAGTCGCTCTCGGATAAAAGATCTGGAAAATCCATATTCAGGCTTTTGTTCAATAAACTGAACCTCAGGGTGGAGGAGGACTCTGACACGCACACACGCACACACACACACACACTCTGACACGCACACACGCACACACACACACACACACACACACAGAAATGTAGAGACATAAGGGAGTGTCCCGTTGGTCAGTGAACAAGCAGAGCGACCATCTGCCTCACTAGGCCGGTGAACAACAACAACAACAACACAAATACAGTATCAGTGATGTACACACACACAGACACACACACACACACACACATCTGCAGCAAAGACAGAACCAACAGTGTGAGCTTCTATCAGTGACAAACAGACTCAGATTCTAACCTGGAGTGATCGTGAAACACCGACATTAATGACTAAACTCAGTATCACAAACTATCGAACTAAAGGACCTGATCTGTCCTCCTCTGTCCTCCTCTGTCCTCCTCTGTCCTCCTCTGTCCTCCTCTGAGCTTCTCCTCTGATGGTGTGAAAGCATCAGTGCAGAGTCGACATCATAAATGTGTAAAAAGGTCAGCAGTAAGACTGATCTATGTGTGATCACAACATCACCACAGTTAGACAGGCTGCAGGTCAAATGTGCAGTTTACCCCAGAACCTCAACAGTCATGTTTAAGGACACCTGGGGACACCTGAGGACACCTGAGGACACCTGGGGACACCTGAGGACACCTGAGGCCCTGAAACTCTCAGTCATCACAGGGGTAAGACTGCTGAGTCCGTCTCTAACCTGCAGATGATGAGCTGATGTCTGTGTGAGCGGAAAAGGTTTCAGCTTCTTCTTCTGTTCGTCTGTATTTGTGTTGGATTAAGACGGAAACATCCTCTGATTTGTTTGTGAGTTGAAACTCGTCCAGAAGTGCTGACTGTTTCTTTTCTCTCAGCGCCAGAAGAACAAAAATCGAACCCAAAAAATCCCATCTGGCTTCATCACGAGTAACTTTCTCTACTCCTACATCCATGTCCAAACGACAGACCGGGCTGCAGCAGTGTGTGTGTGTGTGTGTGTGTGTGTGTGTCTGTGTGTGTCTGTGTGTGTGTGTGTCTGTGTGTCTGTGTGTGTGTGTGTTATATGACCTGTTTGACTTTGGTCCTGTTCTTTGTAAAGTGTTGAAACGAAGCTGAAAACTGTTTGATTAGAAATCTTACAGAGACGTCTGTTCTTCAGGTTAAACATCATTTTAATGATTCTGTCATATATGAGGTAAATAAATGTAAACAGGTGAACTGTGTGTACAAATAAATCCACACCTGAAACATGTAACATGCAAACTCAAGAGGCATTTATAGAGAAACAGGCAGAGACATGATTACTTCATGAGAGTTTCCAGTTTTAACTTTTAGATGATTTTCCACAAACAAGAATTTGAAGTTTCAGTCAAAGTTACTGTGAATGTTAAATAACAAAAGTCAAATCAGATATTCTTTGGTCACTCCAAACCACTCAAAACAGAGGACGTCTAGATTAACTTAAAAATGAGAAAAACAACATGGACGTGATTCTGACAGCCAAGCTCCAAAATTCACTTCCTGACTCATCAGCAGAACCGGCAGGTGGACGTAAAAATCCACGGGCCAGTTAGTTCAGATTAGATTAGATTAGATTAGTTTAGTTTAGTTTAGATTCTTAATTTGCACATGACAAACAGAGAACAATGTCATGATAGATTTAAAGCAGCATTGTGCAGAAAAGCTTGTCAAAGTACCTCCTCCTGATATAAGTGATCTAGGCAGCAGTGAAAGTTCTCTAAGTAATGATAATAATAATAGAATATAATTCAACTTTATTGTCGTTGCACAAGTACAGAGCAACAAAATGCAGTTCATCCATCCAGAAGTGTTTATTAAGTATATTTACAAAAGTATGAAAGAATGTAAACATGAGTCTGTCACAGAGTATAAGTACATTCAGGCTATGAGCAGATTATACATGTGGTTATAAACATAAAGACTATAAACAGACTGTAAATATATGACAGATAAATTATACAGATGAGGTTTGAATAACAACCAAATTTAACAGTAACTGGGAAATATAAATGACAGTTAACAAAATCAAATGATCAGTTATTGAAAACTGACCGTATTGATCTGTTTAATTTCCTTTTGAATGATGATGATGATGAAGATGAAGACTGTAGAGTGTTGGAGTGACCTCTGAGTTCACGATCAGATCACCTCCAGAGTCTGTTTTAAAGGTGTTTGAGTGTTTTTTAATAAAGAAAGAGGTTTTTATCCTGAATATGAAGTAAAAACTGAAACGAGGTTAAAAACAAACTTTATCACTAAAACAGGAGATTAAATTTAGTTCATTAAAATTATAATGTTAAATATTGTGAAGGTAAATTCACACCTGCTGACCTCGTGACCGCCCACTCAATGAACGACCTGTTGTTTACGTTGACGTAGCTCCGCCCCCACTCAAAGAACGACCTGTTGTTTACGTTGACGTAGCTCCGCCCCCACTCAAAGAACGACCTGTTGTTTACGTTGACGTAGCTCCGCCCCCCCCAACTGTCCGCGTGCCACAGACAACAGGCTCATTCTGAAGTGAGGCGCCTCGCGAACACCTCCGCACCGACGGCCGTTACTGCTCCTCTCCAGCTCAACTAGTCGGTTTAACCGGATCTTAACCGGATTTTAACCGGATTTATCGGCTGACGGTGAGTTCCTCCGAGCGGGTTTGTAACGGTAGTTAGTCAGTGACGGTTACTGACGGTTACTGACGGTCAGACGGCTGATTAACCGACTAACGGTCGGTGTCAGAGTGAACCCGTCAGTTGTTGTTGTTTCACGGTCACTGTCCGGTAAAAATCACGGCTGTTCTCCGTGTCCGTGATGGCGGTGAGATATTAGGTTACAGGTGTGTGAGCGAGCGCGTGCGCCCCGTGTCACTACCGTCTCCCTTAGTAACGGTTGCCAAGCCACGGGCAGTCTCGAGCTAACATTAGCGCGCGGGCACGTTAATTAGAGGAGTTAATGTCAGTTCATCTGCTGAGAACCGAGAGTGTGTGTGTGTGTGTGTGTGTGTGTGTGTGTGTGTGTGTGTGTGTTTGTGTGTGTGCGTGTATATGTGTGTGTGTGGGCGGACAGCGTCTCTCCCCTCAGTTCAACATGGAGACCTCAGATTGAGCAGCCAGGGGCGCGTCCAGAGGGGTGTCATTGCAAGAACCCCCCTTGACCCCCTTCAGGTGAACTGTGATTGGCTGTCTGAGGTGTCACTCCAAAAATATGAACTGTGATTGGCTGTTTGTCTTGTCAAAGGTTTGTTTATCCTACTCCTCAGACGTCTCTGTATTTCTATCCTGCGGTCGTTACTAAAGTTGGTATAAAACTAGAGAAGCAAACGGTCGACAACATTCATCTCTCACACACACACACACACACACACACACACACTCACACACTCACACACACACACACACACACTCCAGTGTGTCCCAGTTTTGAGAGTATCCTGTTTTATTTTAACGTTGTCATGGAAACCAGCGTGAAACCTTTTCCCAGTTCAGAGAAATCTCAGTATCATCAGATTCTGGTCCTGACAGAGATCTGATCTAAACTACGACTGATTATCATGATGGACTTCAGAAACACT